CCGTTGGGTGCTCAGTCGGGGAGCTCCTGTGTCGGGTCGGTGACCTGCCTGTTCCCACAGCTGCTGGCTGGGCCCTTGTGTGGTTGAGCTAAGCTGAGTAAAAGGGCCACGGAAGAAGAATTTGTTTCGTCGTTTGTCCCCAGTAGGATAAAGGGACTGGGCATGCCTTTTGGGGTTGTTTAACTGCTGCTCTCCATTGCTCCCTGAGGCTGAACTCCTCTTCACCCTCCACCGTAAACTCTGCCGTTGTTTCTCTGGGCCGATTTCCCCTTTTCTAGCAACGGGAAATATTTCAGGGCAACTGTGCCCTCTTGTTGCATCTGCAGAGGAAAGGACAGCTCTGGCGTGTCCTGGATGTCTCAGAAAACCGGCTGAGATTTTTGCGGGCTCACCATGGGGACTGGCCTTGCCTCTCTGTATTGGGGTGTCTGGGACAGCTGCCACTTCTGGCCTTTCATTCATGGCCAGGTTTTCAATCCAGCATTTTTATGCTTTCCCCTTGATGGGCCCTGGGAGGAGACAATAGCCGGGCTGTAACGGGGGATGTGTGCCTTTCTCATGCAAATGGCAGCTTGCGCTGGGAGAGCCCGTTCAAAGCCCTACCCCTGCGGTGGAGCCGGGTGAGGGGCAGGGGGCACCCGGCCGGCGCGGCCAGAGGCTGCCTGGGCCGTCGCATCCCCTTCCCCAGCAGCAGCTTTCTGCACTGCTGCAGTCCGACCCGGGAGCAGCTGGGTGAGTTGTTCCCTGCCCATCACGTCTGTGAATTGTACAGAGATTTTTGTTTTCATTCTTAAAGGTGTGATATAAATAAACTATATTATTATGATCAACACCTTCATCATCATCTGCCCTGGCACAGGAGCAACTAATCATGAAAGCTGTTACATTCACTGGCACCTCATGTAATATTAACCAGGTCTGGAGCGCTCATATGGGGAAAGCATGTGTTGATTGAACGTGAGGGTCCTGCTCCCACACCAGACCTCTGCTGCAGCTGCACACAGGAGTGCCTGCCTGGCCTGGGGAGGTGAGAAGGAGCTCGGAGCCATGCCTCTGCACACAGGGCCTTTGCCTCTAGCAAGCAGTCGCTCAGATAAATTTCTCTGCAACGAAAGGCCACTCGGAGCTGTGAATTCAGTTCTAGAAAGCCATGCTTAACCTCAGGAAACGCTGAGCGTGTGTGCTGGTACACAGCACCTCTGAAGGGTTTGAGCCCCCATCGTGGGAAGCGCTGGAGGGCTGCGTGGCTGGTGAAGCTCAGTGAAGGGTGCTTTGGACCCAGGGCAGAGGAGGGGATAGTCTCCTCATGTCTGATGCTGGCTGAGCGGTGGTACAGGCTTCTTGCCATGCACAGGGAGAGGATACTGAGACCGCTGCACCTTGGTCCTGCTTTAACAGCTTTGTCTTCCAGACAAAGGCTTGGCTGAACTGGCAGTAGGATTTGTCTACCAAAGAAGACATCCTCTGTAGACTCTAAAGGCCGCTGCTTGCCTGGCACCGCTGTGTGGGGAGGTAACATGAAGCTCATCAGGCTGATACCAAAGGGCCTGTTGATGCAGCACTCCAGAAAGCTGGGATGAATTTCTGCTTCATTCTGTGGAGGATGTTCTTGGCTGTCCCAGCAGAAAGCAGCATGCACCGCAGCGTTGCTGGCTGTATGGGGAGAGTTTACAGTGAGCCCTCTGAGACAAGTGCGATGCTGAAAAATTTAGGTCTTGGCAGTGCTCGTCTCTGTTTTAAGCCAGAGCTGGCTGAGGTTGCAGGAGCCCCTTGCAGAGCAGATCATGGCTTTGCATGCATATTTGCGTTCCTGGTTTGCAGTGTGCTATTGTTGGCTGGAGAGTGCCCGTGTGAGGAGGCTCATTATCTCTCAGAACAGCTAATAAGGAACAAACACTATGTTGGTATAGATGAAACAGCACATTTTCAGTCCCCTGCCCTAGGGCAGCATCTCTGAGTCGCAGTGCCAGGCATTTTGAGGGGCTGCCAGCTGGTAAGAAAGAGGAGCTACTCATGGCTTTATCTGCCCCTGAATTTCAGACAACCACCACGTGGATTTTATTTTTAAGCTGGTTTTTGGCTTGCTCCAGTTTTCTCTCTTTAATCATGAACAGATGCACATAGGTCCTGTTTCTTGCAAACCTGGGTGCTAAGTGGGAGAATGACTCATGCAGTAAAGGAAGGTTGGATCTGCAGACACGCAAGCCTTGGTGCGTGTGTGTTCGGAAGTGCCAGACTGTGGGTCTCTGGGGTGTCTCGCTGGAGTATCTGAAAGGTGTCAAGTGCTCAGAATCAATAAAACTGAAGACTTGGACTTGAGGGAATTGAGGCTTTTGTGTTTTGTTTTGGTTTTTAATTGATGTACTTAATGAAGAAGTAATAGATGCAAAAACTAGAATAATAATCTCCCAAACAGAATTTCCTGATGCAGTAGAGACATCTCCAAAGCAAGCTGGCGATTACCTGAGTTTGGAGCATAGCAGCTCTCCTGCCCTGCTGGGCAGCACTGACCATCGGTCTCCATCAGTCTCCTGGGGTTGGGCAGAGGCTTCTGCAGCTTTTGTTACCTGCTGCCAGAGCAGCTGGTGAGTTGAACTACCAGCAAAGGTGCCAAGGGTCGCTCCTGCGCTTTGGAGTTGGAGCAGAAAGTTAATGAATACGAAGGCAATTTTGATCTCATTAAGGAAATGAGGTTCTTGGCCTAGCGCATCCCTTCCCTCAGCTTCTCCCAGCAGCACAGGGGTCTTTCCTCCTGTGGTCCCAGGTGGTGAGAACACAATTCCTGGCACCGGGGTGGGGATGGTGGTGGTTCTGCGGGATAACCGAGGGGCCTTGCTCCGCTGCGCGCGGGCACTGCAGGCTCTGCACCGAGGAGCTGGCTGGCTGCGGAGGGGAGCTGCAGGTTGCTATGATACGGTTTGCTGTAGCAATGTCTGTGCTGAATGGAGCCAAAATCACCTCTACAAAAGGAGCATTCCTGGGCTGGGAGGGGGCAGATTTATCTGCAGTGTTTATGTAAAACTGAGGAGCTGCAGGGAGAGGATGTGTGTGGGAACGCTTTCCTCCAGCATGTGCTGGGGGCCCCTGTCTGGAGGCACATACCCAGCAAATCCAATCATGCAGATCAGTGCTGGATCTCACATCCCATCTGGTAAACCCACACCAGGCACGAGCCTGAAAACTGGGTTCAAAGGGGCGCTCAGCGCTACTAAGCTTGGCACCGCCTTCGAAAGCGGCCTCGGCCTCAGCGGGAACTGGGTCACCTTGCTGTGCTGCAGGAGCATGGGCGGGAGCGGTTCGCTGGTGCCAGCTCCGCCAGCCATGAGCTGAAACAGCTTGAGCCTGAAGCAGGGTCAGGAACCTCCACGCCTGGGATGCAGGGTCGCCCTGGCTCACTGTGCCTCTGTGCACCAGCCTGCATCCCCTGTCCCCAGAGCTGGCCAAGGCACTGCAGGTACTGGCTTCTTTCCATGCAGGGAACATGGCTTTCCCTCTAGGAAGAGGGCTGGGCTCTGCAGAGATCAGGGTCTGTTTCTTCTGTGCTGGATCCCAGCTGCTACTCTTCCCGGTGACTTTGCAGGGACAGACACCTAGGCTGCGGCTTCTCTCACTGATGGGAGCAGGGGGTGGAGGTGCCTTTGCTCCTGCAGGCTGGCAGCAGCATGGCTGTCTATAAGAGCTGGAGGTACTTGTAGCTGGTTTTGCTGCGAATCCTAATGCGCATCGAATCCCAGGGTGCCTGCCCCAGGATCCGTGAGAGCAGTGAGGGCTGTGTGGGCATGGCTGGGGCTGTGCTGGTTGGAGTGTGCCCTGAGCTCTGTGCTGTGGAGGTCCCAGTGGTGGCTGCTGTTGGTACCTTGCTGTGAGCTGGTGTCAAGGGGAGGGAGGGTGGCCAGTCTCTGGAGCTGGGCAGGGTTTGGGACGACAACACATCTCAGCCCTCAGCCTGCCCTGGGTGGGCTCTGGGCAGAGGAAGGAGCGGTGGTCACAGGCAGGTCTGCTCTCCTGGCTGAGTCTTGCAGAGGGATCTGGGGTGTTTGCAAACACCTGGTGTGCAGAGCCATGCCGGAGGGGCTGTACCCGCCTCTGTGCGGTACATCAGTTGTGAGCCCCCGTGCAGACAAGAGCCGGGGTCGGAGCCCCTGCGGAGAATCAGCCCATTCTCCTCTCACGCTCATCCCAGGCAGATTCCCATCCTCCCGGAAACATAAGCCACCGTCATCCATAATTCATCAGGTGCCAAACTTCATCATGGAGCCACCTGACACCCGGGCTGGGTGCTCCACCCTCCTCCCAGGGTGGGAAAGTGCCGGGTCTGGGCGTCCCGAGGGGCCGCGGAGGAAGCGCGTCCGGTTTGCTTGGCCCCAGGGTGGGCGATCCATCTTTTGGAGGAGGCAGATTCAACAAGGACTCTGGTGTCTCTGCTTCCCCTTTTCATCAATAAACATCTGCTTCTCAGCCCTCCAGGAAGCTTAAGCCATTGTAAAGCCAAATATAAAACTGAGACAGTGTTTTTAAGTAGCCATGAGCTGATTGCTCCATTACTGTTTACTGAGGCATCTACAATCACACACAGAATGCACTTAAAATAAAAACACTGTGAGCCAATGACTTTAATGCCTGAAATTTGCATTGAAGGTGTGTGTGTGCATGCATGTGCGTGTGTGCATGTGTGCGCGCGTGTGCGGCAGAAGCTGTGCAGGATTCAGGCTGGGCTCTCTGCCTGCTCACGGAGAAATCCTGCAGAATACAGAATCATCCCCTTCAATTTGTAGCTTGTTCACCAAATCCTGTTACATCTTTTATGTACCAAAAAGAATCTGTCTGACTTTTTCCAGCACAAATCCAGAGAAAAAGGCAATTTGTTTTTACCTGTCTTAAATTCTCATTATCTATGTGAGCAAGCTCTCCTGTATAAAGATAGCAAGAGGAGATAAAAAATAGCAGCAGCATTCCCTGTCTTCTCTCAGCCACACCTTTCCACTGTTAGTGGTACAGGAACTGCATGACAAGTAATAGGATACGTAGGCAAGTGGCGGAGGGAGGCATGTGCTGCTCTACAGCATCATAGCCCTTCCAAGCGCCCTTTTCTGCGGTGAGCCAGCACACCCACTGTCCTGGTTTGGCTAAAACTGGACTCCCTGGCAGCACAGCTCCACTGCCTCTTACTTGGCAGATACTTACTAGGGAGAGAGAGGAATGCAGAACTTGCATTTATTTCTGCTCTGCAAAGGGATAAACGTAAGAGCACAAGGACAAAACATCTGACTTCTGCCCCTAAACAAAGGGACCGAGTCCTCTGCAAACCAAACCCTGCTGAAAAAGTCTGGTCACTGGTCAAAAGCTTGTGTCAACATCCTTTATCTTCGACAGAGCAGTCTGCATCATGTGGCAGTGTCTCCAGTTCGTACTGGAATGAAAGATCTCTTTGCCTGGCAGAGAGGGCTGGGGGTCCTAGCCTGCCTGTTTGGGTAATAAGCAGTCATTAGGATGAGACTTTCTGCTCACCATTCCCCTCCCACTCCTCTCTGCAGGCTCAGCGTATTATGATAATGTCCGTCCCTTGGCCTACCCGGACTCAGATGCTGTGCTCATCTGCTTTGACATCAGCCGCCCGGAGACCCTGGACAGCGTGCTCAAGAAGGTGAGTGCCCAGCCTGCCTTCTGGCTGGCGAGATGGATCCTCTGCAGCAGTACCTGGAGGCACCCTGGAGTCCCTTCTCCCAGAGGTTGTCATCAGGGCTACGAGCTCTGGCCCTGTGGCCAAGCCTTGGCTGGAGGTTGCATGCTCAGATGAGGATGGTCGGCTGCTGCCGATCCCTATGTGGTCTGTGCAGAAAGCAAGATATTACCATTTGAAAGGAGCCCAGTGAATGGTGTAGCTCATGGTAGCTTGCAGCCTGTGTGTGGGGTCTGTGTGTATGCACACGTACAAATGTGGGGACAGAGACACGTCGGGCATTTGTTCTGTTTTTCATGAAGGCCTTGGAAAGTGTTGTGCGTCTCTTGTTAGTATAACCACCAGTGAGGGTGCTATGGATTGCTTGCAGCAGTTGAGAAGTGGCCCCTGGTGCCTATTTTCATGCAAGTAGAGAGCTCAGTTTTTCAGCTGTCCCCTCAGTTCAGCATCATCACAGTAAGAAAGACAACAATCAGTTCCCTGTAGCTTGACAACAAGAATAATGAGCTGTGGCACTGAATTTCAAGCCCATGAATGACTAAAATGAGATGTCACAATGCCACTGGACTGGATAGCGCACAGAGCCCTGAACATTGTCTGCCCTGGCAGAGCTGACTGACCATGCTCTGTGTTAGCAGCCAAGAGTTTTCTACCTGCAGGTTATTGCCTTTCAGCAAAGCAGATATTTCCAGCTGTCAGGTCTGGCAGGTCCTGGAGAGCCACACAGGGCTGGGGATCTGCTGTGGAGCACCGCTGGCTGGCCTCCCAGCAGGTCCCTTCTTGCCACACTCTGGGGGAGTGGGTGACACCCAGGGAGAGGTTCCTGTGCGAGGCTTTCCTCTGAGACAGCTTGAAGTCCAGCAACTCAGGATGCTGCTCAGAGGAGAGCATAAATGGCCTCCTGGCCACTCGCATCCCTTGGTCCTGGCTGTACCCCGCTTCCTTCCATGAAATTCAGGGAGCTGTGCTTTCAGTGAGCGCTCACCGCAGTGCAGCAAAGCTGCAGAGAGCTCACTGGCGGCTGCATCCTGTTCCAGAAGTGAGGAGTCTTGGCTGGCATCTCATTTGTGAAGCTCTCTGAGACACCAAGGCGTGAAAAGCACTACAGAATACTGACTCCTGTAGCTTTTCTCCCCAGTGAGCCCCAGGCTGCCGGGGCTGGACTGGCCACTGTCTGAACAAGTCACATTGTACTGACTGCCCTCTTGGCCTCTCCACATTTTGCCAAATGTGGAGTACCTCATAGTCAGCTGCTGGGAGGACTGAGAAGAGTGGGTCTGTGTCTCAGAAGTGTCCTGGTGAGGGGACAAAGACCCCTTAGATAACTCGGTCAATGGCTCAGTGTTCATTTCCAAAGCAGGTCCCGGGTACCAAACGTGCTGGGTGGAGCGAGGCATGTTTCATGTGAGCCCAAAGAATTCACTCCTCAGCTTGGGAGTCAGCAGAATAATAATCCAAGCAAATCACTTATACCTTAATGAGATGCAAACCCATCAATTAGCTAGGGTTGGGATTTATTTATGTCTCTCTGCACACTCTTCACGTGAGTCCTCACTGCTCAGTGCACATTCTTTCCTGTGCATCCTCACGGATGCTTTGAGTACCGTTACGCAATGCCTTTTTGATATGGTGACTTAAAATAAACCCTAAATTACAGGGGATTTCTTAAGTGCCTCTGAGTAGATGCCTTGTTTCCTTTGGTGCAGGCTTGCAGCCTATGGAGGTGAGGAAAATTCCTAAGACACCATGAAGTTGAAATGGGTTTTAGCTTTTGATATCAGGCGAATAAGGAAAATAACACTCCCTATTCAAGCCTCAGGCAAAAATGCTAATTCAGCAGAGGAAATCTTTATTATTGCTGCCCTTCTGATGCCTGGGCTGCCTGTACAGCATGTACAGTTGAAGGGAAGGAACCATCTGAGAGTATGCAAACAAGCAGCTCTTCTTTTCATACAAAGCAGGTTTTCATGGGGTGGTGCCTTCATTCTGACAAGTCTTGTTAGCACAGCAAATCTTAGGCTCCCTAAGATCTCAGACATGTTAGAAGAGGGTCACACCTCTCTCCATAGACCGGGGAGCCCTGTGTCATTACAGGCAGCCATGACCTGTGCCTGATAAGAACAGACTCTGTAGCTCAACACTTTTGAAGATTTTCATCCTTCAGGTAAATTAGGATACTTGAATTCCAGCTCCAAAAGAACTGCATCATCCTCCTCTTGTGAGTATGTTAGCCCTTGATGCTGTGTGGCTGTGACACCAGGAATCTTCTGGAAGGTGTGCAGCCTGGCTTGCTGCCCAGGTGCTGATGATGTGTGTGTGTCCTGGTGGACAAATGTCCCTGGCAGCAGGGAAGGGGAGGTTCATGGTGAAGATACTTGAGCCCATCTCCTAGTGGAAAATAAGATTTTTCCATATTTTGCAGTTGCTTTGGTCTGATACCGGTTGAATGAAACTTGGGTCATTCTTGTCACTGCCTTTCCCCACCAGGTTATGGACACTGGGTTGTGGGCTTGGTTTTCTTTCCCTTTCTAATTGCCTAGGGTATATGCTTAACCATCAGTTAGTGTAGCAGGAGATTGCTGATTCCAAGTGACATCTTTAGCTGGGGGTGATCTCTATTTGTTATCTGCCTCTTACTTCAGAAACACTAGATAAGTAACCAGGGTGTTGACATGCTGATGGGACTGTACAGGTCTCCCTTGGGGGAGGTGACAGGTGATGGTTTTGTCTACTGCTGCGAACACTTAGCTGCACATTGGGCATTCATTTTTGGAGCTCTGTTAGTGCAAAGGAAGTGGATGTTTGCCCTAGCCTTCTCCTTCCATTGCTTCAATTCTTTATTTCCCTGGCTCTAGCTACACTCTGAATATCTTAATGTCTTTAACATGTGGCTCCCAATAATAAACAAATAATGAGTATGCTGTGCAAAGAGCTACCCGCTGACTGTGGTTCAAAAAGTCCAAGGATGCTGACCTTTGAAGTCCCAGATCTGTGCACCAGACTGTGTGGTCATTATTTTTCCACAGTTATGCCCACGAGTGATCTCCCGTGGCCTAGCGCAGGAGACTGCAACTTAGATTTGACAGGTTTGCAGGGCATATCTGGAACAAACGAGTGTAAAGTTATCCGAAAGGCACTCCGACCATTCCCATCCTTGCCTGTGGCAGTCATTAAAGTGCCCTGATGAGCTAATCAGTCTCTGAACAGCTGTGACCTCCGTTTGGAAAAGCCATACACACCAGAATGCACTGTCTTGGCCTCTGAAGTCTGCTTTCCAAACCCAATCCCATTAGAGCCTCATGTTATATTCAGAACACCGAAAGCTGTCTGTCCCTGTGTTTCCCATCTTAGGCTCAGTCTCCGGTGCTGCTCCCGGCCTGCATCCTCAGTGTGAGCCCCCACTGACCATGATGACCACCATTGCCCCTTCCTCTCTTCCTGAAATCTGGGCATGCAGGCTGCAGCGGGGCCAAAACCAGCCTCAGTGCTGGCACCAGGCACCACGAGTCCGAGGCAGGAGACCTAAAAGTGGTGTTGCCGTGGCTACCAGTAGCAGTCCTGGTACCCTGACTGGTCCCGTTCCAGGTCCTGTGCAGAGACGAGCCAGGCCAGGGCGGTTTGGCAGTGCGTGCTGATGGTCTGGAGGTGCTGGGACCCCGGGCTGCCGCAGTCATCTTTCTTCTGTGGGAGAGGGAAGTGCCGTTTGCTGGTGGGAGAGCAGGAGAAGCTATGGACCAGACTTGTGGGCTCTGCCATGGTGGTGAGGCATGGAGGCGTTTGGCTGGATGATGCTGTCCAGTAGGAACTGATGGCATGACTCTCCTGGCCTGTCCTTCCCTCCAGGGCTGGGAGATCTTGGATGGGGCTCTTGGCCTGGTTTGAAAGGGGCTGGGAGCAACAAGCTGAGACTCTGTGATTGCCTTTATTGTTCCAACCTTGACCCTTTTGCAGGCTGCCTGCTGCCAAAATTAACTTGACGTGGAGGTGTCGTAGGGCTTCTTGAAATGTCTTGTACACCAGCAGCCCCCGAGCACCTTCTCCCTCTTGTCTTCTCTGCAGTGGCAAGGGGAAACTCAGGAGTTCTGCCCCAACGCGAAGATTGTGCTGGTCGGCTGCAAGCTGGACATGCGGACAGACCTAAACACGCTCCGGGAGCTTTCCAAGCAGCGCCTCATCCCTGTGACGCACGAACAGGTGTGTTTCAGCAGCCATCCCCATAGGGTTCAGGGAGGTGAGGCGGGGACTTTTCTGCAGGACCTGCTAGTACATGGAAGCTCAGCAGCAAATGACCCACTGTGCCCAGGTCTTGGCCTGAAGCTGGTTTGATCTTGGCTCATGGACTCTGAGCTGCTCATGCTCGCAGCACGCTTCTCCCCAGCTCTGGCAGACCTTGATTTATTCATGCTGAACAGCCTGCTGGTTAGTAACTGAAAAGTCTTTCCTCAAAGGTCGTAGAGGTGCCTGATTTGACAAGTTGGACTGGCTAAAGGGGAGTGTTGTGCTTCTGCATCTCCTAGTTCAGTTTAGCTCTTTCTGCTCCGACTGACTCTCCTACTCGGGTCCTGGGTTGGGGTAACACTGCTGGGGCGGGGGAGCCACAGCTGGGGGTTCTGAGGTTCTGCTGCCAGGCTGCTGTGGCCGCCAGTGGCCCCAGCAGTGTCTCCAGCCTGGCCCGGAGACCCAGTCTCTGTGGTGCAGCGCAGGGGTGGCTGTGCTCTGGGTTGCTATGTGCCTGGCTGTGTGTTGTGCAGAGCAGGTCCCAGATGACTGTCCTGGTGAGCGGGGTTGTCCAGGCCCTCAGCTGCACGGGTGGCACCGTGTTAGTGAGAAAGTGTAAGTGATTCACCGTCCAGCGCCTGGTAGCACCGTCTGCTTGGGAGGCCACCCTCAGTCTGGTGCTCTCACAGATGCTTGCACTTTATTTATAGATGTGATGAGTAAACATTGCGAGAGCGCTGCTCCTGGCTGTGCCACGGTGCTCTGATAGGGCTGCCAGCACAGACAGGGCTGATGGTGATGTGAAAGGATGCTCCTTGCAGAGCGCTGGTGTCTTAACTTTCTTCCCTCTTCCTCCCACTCTCTCTGGACCGCAGGGCAGTGCGCTGGCACGGCAGATTGGGGCAGTGGCCTATGCAGAGTGCTCCTCCAAGGTCTCGGAGAACAGCGTACGGGATGTGTTTCATGTGACCACGCTTGCCTCGGTCAACAGGGTGCACAAGAACTTGAAGCGCAGCAACTCCAAACGGGGACTGAAGCGGGCATCACAGATGCCTGGCAGGACGGACTTACTCAATGACACAGAGATCAGGAAAGACCGAGCCAAGAGCTGCTCCATCATGTGAAAAACAGGCTGTAAATAATGTGTTTGTGTTGTCCATTTTGTACAGTAACTGGCTGAGACAAGGGCATGGTGCTGGCTGCAGGAGCCAGCCCGCCTTTCCAAAGCCTTTTCCTCAGTCTCTAGGGCTGAGCAAAGGTCCCAGCTGCAAACCGGGGTGCACGAGTTGACCCCCGCCCTGGAGACTTCTGGGTTGGCTGCTGGGGTGCAGATTGCTTGGGGTGAAGGAACCACTTGGCAGAGGAGTATTCAGGTGCTGGAAGGTTTGTAACTGGGTGAAACAAGGTAAAAGGGAGTGATCCTCTGTGTGTGCCACCCTGCTGTACCTGCGTCCCAGCCTGTGCGCCTGTGTGCAGCTATACAACACACACAGCGTGGGGCAGTGGGCTGTGTGGGACCTGGGATGGAGGGTGGGAGGCGGGTGGAATTGCTAGCAGCAGAGTGTGATCAGGAGAAGGTATTCTTCCAATTTTCCTTTAGAAGAGAAATGATGTTTGAGGTGGTGCTGCCTCCAGCTAGGCTGGACAGCAAGTTGCCATGGAAGGTGTTGGTCTGGGCCAGAGCTGGGAGGGAAGGCGCCCTCGGAAGGAACCTTAACCTGATGAGACACCACAGTAGTCCACGTCCTGCAAAGAAAATAGATAGGTGGCTGCTTACATGGTATTTTAGATACTTGAACTCCATTTGAAATGCAGCAGAGTGGATCTGGCTCCAAGGGAGAGGTCTATACTAGTAGCTGCATCCTTGAGAATTGTGGTTCCCTTCAGCAAGCAAATGCCACTCAGGAGCTTGTGTCCCAGATGCTGACAGCCTGGTTACTCATCAGACTGCTCCCTGCCACAGGCAGCTGCGCTTCCGAGGCACATAGCTTCCGAAAAAGCAGACTGCAATAACTATCCATATCCTGCTCTCCACCCACTTCCAGCTGCAGATTGTGTTGCATGGTGCTGTGTTTGTCTGGTACAGATAACCCAAAAAGATTATGTGCATATCTGTGCCCTGTCTCCACTGTGGCAGTGGGAGGGAAGGTGCTCTCTGCCCCTCTTGCCCTGCTGTACAGCCTCCTCCCAACACCTCTCATTGCTTCTGCTGCTGCCCTCTCTAAATGCCTTTGACTACAGTGTTAGTCTTGACTTAATGTCACGTGGACACTTTAAGGAAAAAAGAATCTGCTCCATTGCCAGATCCAGCTGTGTCAGTGGGCTACAGAAAAGAAATAAACATCATTGGAAAATGCATAGTGCTTGACTGTTCATTTTTAATAGTCAAACCAGGCATCATCTCAAAACGTCTTACTGCCTAACTTCTGTTTGTGTCCTAATGTATCTCTCTAGCTCTTGAAATACACTCACACATACACTAGAGTGAAAAACGCGGAGGACTTAGCTGCATGTATTCATTTTGGAGCTGAAACACCTGCCTTGAATAACCTCTCACTCCATCCTGAACCCTTAAACACGGTGAATCGTTTGCAGGTTGTCCATGCCCAGTCCACCAGTCTGAGCTGACGTGAGGTGCCCCCATCCTCACTATGTCAATAGCTGCGGGCGAAGATAGCTTTTGACTTAATTTTTTGTGTCTGCTCTCCCACCCAGGTCTTAGACTTCAGCTGCATCATGAAGGCTATTTGGGGAAGTGGAGCAGCTGAGTTACTAGCACAAGAAAAGCTCAAGCGATGACTGAATTCTGTTGTGCTGGGTGCAGGTTGCAAGAGCATGAAAATGCCCATCTGCAGTCTGGGAGCAAAGAAACTGAGCAAGGCGCTATGCCAAGAACAGCCTTCAGCGTCACGGTGCTTTCCTCTTACTCTGCAGGGTCCCCAGAGCCTTTGCAAACATTAGTGAACAAAACCACGTCCCTGCTTGAACAGTAGCAATCAGTGGCTCACAAGTGTCACTACCAAGTCCTCTTAACCTGTCTGCATTTGTTCTCATCGCCCTTGTGTAATACAATGACTGTGTCTTCCTTATTTCCGCATAAGCACAGCAGTATTTGGCAAGCACATCTCCCTTTTTCTATCATCCCGCATCTTTTAGGCTTTTGAGTTGAATCTGGCAGTCTCTACAAATGCTGTTTCTCATCCACTGATTAGTTTAAACTCCCAGTGGCTCTATGTTAACTTGTTAGCTCGCCCTGTAAGCAAATCTCCAGTAGTGGGTAGCAATTGTCAAACCTGAGCTGTGCTGAGTGTAGGTATGTGAAGGAATGGGCTGTTGCTACAGGAGACGGCTCTAAGCCCCACTGCGATTCAGCTGGGTGCCTGTTCTGCACCAGCTCCTGCAAAGAGAGGTCTGGAGACATGCAAGAAAACTGGCAAAGCCTGCAGAGGCACTGCAGGTGTAGGGCTGTTCAACCAGAGTGGAGGTAAGCAGGAGGGGCAATGGCTGAGGCATGTGACAGACCAAACAGACGAGTGGCAGGAGAGAGAATACCCAATATGAGCTGGGAAGCAGCAGGATTGAAGTGCCGGGCACAGGTTGGTTGCCCTCCCTGGGCAGGGGCTGCGGCAGCACCCCCCTCCCCTCCCTCACTTCAGGAGGAGATGCTGCTGCTGCTGGTGCTGTGCTGCCATTTGGGCAGAGCTGCTCCTCAGTGGAGACAGGCTTGAGCTGCCTGGCAGCTCCCCGCAATGCTGTCCTGTTTTCTTGGGTCATTGGTGCAGAAAGACAACTCAGCTCCCAGTGGCTCTGCTGCAACTGCAACAGTGCTTCCCTTGCTGCTGCTAGTGATTTTCGTACATTGAACTTCACAAGCTCTTGCTGCTCAAATGGCCCTCTGGGATGGATTGTGACAGTGTAAAGACAGACATCCCAGCAGCAGCTCTGGAAGAACCAGTCAGAATTAACGGCAACCAAAACCTCTCAAGAGACTAAGGGAAGTGAAACAGCCTCCAGGACCATTTATCATGAAATTCTGAGCTGGATCCTTAGGCGTGGTGAAGTAAAGATGTTAAAGCCCATGGGGCTAAGCTCTGATATCCTCAGTTTCCATCAGCAGGCTTCTTTCTTGTAAGCACATGAGCATTTCTGCTGGTGCTCGTGGCCCAGGTACAGAACCCAGGACAGCCAGAGGTATTTTAGGGTGCTGACCTCTAAGGAAGAGGTTTCTAGGAGAATGGAGCATCGCAGTCCTGCTGTGTCAGTGCATTTACTACATCCACCTGCCTCTGTATGGTACCCAAAAATCTCTCTAAGCACCTGGGGCATTTGCCCTGTGCTTCTGGGAGCATCTTAACGTGCAACCACAGCTTTCCTCACACCTGCCTTAGAGGGGAGAGCCTGACATACTCCTAGCTGAGAGACGTGGACAGGCAAGAGACTGCAACTGGCAAACTCAGAGAAGGCTACTACAGCCCGAGAATTCCCAGCAATATATGCACTGGAAGCCACGAGAGAAGAGAAAGGTGCACCCTGCTCAGTGAGGGGAACTGCCAAAAGGCACTGTGAAAGCTCTGGGCTCACCTTTTCCCTCTGGAAATAGCTAGCTGCAGCACAATCTGCGAGGAGAAAGCTACACCCGAAGGCGAGCGGTGCCTGGGGATCAGAGGTGCTCGGGTGGGTTTGTGGTGCCAGCGGGCCTGTCCAGCACGTGGGTGGCTGCTGTGCAGACCTGCATGCCCCCAGCCATGCCCACCAGCAGAAAGCCATGAGCACCAGAGCGCTGCGGAAACAATCCACATGGTGACGAAAGCCCAGACAGCCGGGTTTAATGGCCATAGCCTACGCTGGGGCCAGGGGTCAAGGTTAACAGGCCCAGGACCAAATGCAAACTGACATTCATGGAGGGCTCCCCCAGCATACTGGAAATGCGCAGAGATGTGGCTGGGTCACTGCTGACAAGCAAAGCTTTATAGATGAAAAGCAGAAGGCAGGAAAGAGCCTGACCTGTGTGAATCAGCGACGGGGCTGGGAGGGCAGAGGGCGGTGGGAGCTGGCAATAATCACAGCTTTCATACTGCAGCCTGTCTTTTCACAGCCGCTGAGAAATGCAGAGAAGGAAGGATGCTGATGGTCCTTCCGACCTAGTGGCAGGCAGTCAATACTCTTCTGCTACCTCTGCAGCGTATATCTAGTGCCTATTTGCCAGCTAAGTGGGAGGGATCAGGGAGGAGAAATGAGGAGATGTAGAGGAGGGGAAATCAGGCAAGAGGGCATTTATCTGGGAGCCTGAGCCCCTTAACTCCCTCAGTGCTGCTGTTGTCTACAGGCACTGTGTTTTTAGAGCGCTGCAAAGGTTGTATGGGAGAGTGCCTGAATATGTTAAACTGAAGAGAAGGGATTAATCTTGCTGGTTGTCTGTACAGCTCTTGCCTCTGTGCTTTGCCTTGTCTTGGAGTGGGGAGGGGGGACCAGCACCCACCACAGCACCGCTCCAAAGCAGACTGAGCAGGAACAAGTACAGGCTTACTTCCACATGTTGGAAGCGGGGCGGGGGGGGCTCTGGCAGGGATGAGGATGTGTTGCCACCCCCTGTGAGCTGCGAGACAGAGAAAGAGACAGGATGGCACTTCCCAGAATCTGTCCTGAGGGGCCACAGCTGAGAGAGCAGGGCTGTGTGGGGCAGCTTCCCCTCCCCGAAGGCTTTAACCACACGCGTCAGTGCCCTGTTTGCGCAGCATGCCAGACTAAACCTCCCAAAAAAGTACACCTTGTGGAGACATGGGGGCCTCAGCATCACCTGTTTCAATTTACAGAGCTGTTTCTACCATGTCAAATGCCATGCTGGTGTAGCCATGCTGGCTTACAGTGCTGTCAAGGCTAGAGAAAACAGAACAAGCGTTTTGATCAAGAGTTGCAGCTCAGGAGTAGCAGGGTGCATGAACAAGGTTTGTTACAGTACGGGGAATCCACAGTGCCAACTCCCACAAGATCCCCTCAAGTAAGGGAAGGAGGACACGAAACTCAAAGCTGCCTCTACAAAGAGGTAGCTGTATTATATATGGTCTTCCCTTTGCTTTCCACAAGACACGCTCAGGTGACATCTCCCAGGCATATTCAGCACTCA